CCAACATTTTGCGTGTTGTAAAATTTACACACAAACACATGCGTACGTATGTATGTATATACGCACATATGTGCATACATACTCGTAAACATTTGGCTTTCAATTTCCAATAAAGTACTGAGTAGTGCAAGTAATAAAATATTCCATTGAACCTTTGATGCGTGGAGATAGTATTAGGAGTGCTTTGCATTGCTTGTAATGCAGGAAGGCATATAATTTCCCAACACAAATTATCCATTATTTAAGCCTTTAATTTACAACCCCACTGCCTTCTAATCCATTTATGGTTTACACTGAAAACTCCTGTCTTGATTTTTCAATTGAAGTAAGTAAATTTTCACTATACAAAAACTGTCAATGTTTAAAGTTACATACATACATACATACGTGAGCGTACCTGATTGCACACCATCATACATACTTACTATACCATATATGTATGTATGTACACACATATACTGCATTTTATTTATTCACATCACATAAGCGCAAAACTCCAACAAATTCAATGTACGAAATTGTGCGAAAAAAGTTACGTATTAAATTTCCGCCACAGAGAGCACTTCCGCCAAAATATTGCGGCTGCAAATCTAGCCAAAATACGCTGTAGTCCCAATGCAATACCGGAAAGCGGCCGAAAAAAGTTTTTATTTCCATAAACTTTGGGGAGTTGTGTATGCATGCATATGTGCATGTGTGTATGTATATGAATGAATATGAAATGAAGCTACCCAATACAATACCGACAGCGATTTCAAGGTAAAAAATATGAAAAAAAATAAAATTAATTTAGTTACGACGCTTGGCATTTAAGGTACCCAAAAATCCGTGAAAAGATTGTGAAAAGTCTCAAAGCTTGCCGAAATATCCTGCAAAGTTGAGTAAGAAGAATTCCGAAAAATTCCAGTTGAGCAAGACGAAAAGTTAAAAAGGCTAATGCCGAAAAAGATCCCCAAAAATCCGAAAAAAAATTTTTGAAAAGTCTCAACGGTTCCCGAAATACCCCGAATGGTTCAGCACGAAGAATCCAGAAAAGTCACAAAAATGCCGATAAAATATTGAAAGGTTTCAAATAACCTAATTAATTACCATTCGTTTCATTTTATTCTTGCCTTCCCGATTTTTTGAATCAGACCGTTTTCTTGTTTATTTGAGAAATTGAATTCGTTTAAATATCACTCATACGCCTCATATAACTAACTGATAAAATTCACCTTTTTGGCAGCAAATATGAGAAATACTAAGAGATTTTCACCATGCATACATGTAAAAGCAAGTTATAGATACTTCCACACATACATATGTGTCTTCTTGTTTAGTTAATTGAAAAATTGTTTTCTCAAATGATCTTCAAATAAAGGTATTAAAAAAAGACACACAAATTAGCTATTTTTAATGGTCATATCAAAACTTTGGAGGCTTCTAAATATTTTTAATAAATTTAGATTTTTACCCT